TCATATACGCTTAAATACAGTTTTCTATTACAGAGAAAAAAATATACAAAACCTAGGTAATGTGTACACGCTGTATATATAATTTATAAATAGATTTTTTTTTGAAAATTTTTCGGTTACAGCATCCATTTCGATAAGTGGTTAAATATATTAATCTCATGTTCAGGATATTTTCTCGAAAAAAGCAATAATCGCTTGATATTCTTGACAAAAAGTATGGAAAAAAAAAAAAAAATCTAAATAATTACAACAAAAATACCATTCCTATACAATATAATTACTCTTATAGAAAGAAAGTTTCTTCATTATTTTCAATAAACATCTCGACTCGATGACAATTCAATTGTACATATTGACGAAATAATACTTTTTCACGGGATTAGATTACATTAGAATCTTTTCCACGTCACTCCTCATTATCATTCATATCATTCGCACTTTTCCATTCGCACATCGTATATTAAGTTTAGGATGATGCATAATGTTAAATTTAATGATGATTGTGATGTAAAAACGCAACGCGTTCGCTTATAAAGGCGATCAAACAACTAATGTCATGCAGTGCGCACACACTTTTAATAATGTACTTTTCGTTCAGTGTTACGCGAGTGTAAAAAACGTATGCTTCGTTTCCTTACTACTCTCTCTCTTCTTTCATCTCTCATCTCTGTGCATTTTTGTTAAAAAGTCACCGTGTGTAAGAAGCGCATTCATTTGTCTATGTCATTATATCGTGTGCGTGTATATATATATATATATATATATATATATATATATATATATATACACATATGTATTATTAAATTCATAAAAATCCATAAGACTTTTCGACACAAAAAGTAAAGAGGAAATGACAAAATTCAATGCGATTCTTGCACACCGCGAGTCGTACTTTATTTCACGTATTTATTCATCCAAATATTTCACGAGAATATTATAAACGAAAAGAAAGAAAAAAAACGTATTTTACATAAATTCAAGCGACATTGTACAATGCAAAAATCTTTCATTTTTGTGTTCGTTTGTATATATCTTTGGTAGACACTACTAAATAAATATTATCGCTTATAAAGTACAGTTTTCCATTTCGTGGTTCCGAGACCGTTTACAAGAAGTTCGACGAAAATTCTTTCGCGCCTTTGTGCGAGTTACACTCGTCACCGTTTTAAAACAGTACGCGCACGCGTCATGTGTACAGTAAGGCGTTGCTTAATTGCGGAAAAATTAATCCGTCAGGTAACGTGCTTTCAGAGTAAAAGAAAAGTCACTCGTGCATTATGAAAAATTAATGAAACGCAAGTATGTGCGTTAAAGGTACGCCAAGCACAATATAAAAACAAACAATCGAGTCGTCGTGTCTCCTATTATCTCTTATAATTCTAAATTGCAGCGTAAACTCGTCTTCTCCGTCTCTCGATTAATTCCTACGTTTTGCAGGTGTCATGAAGATTCAGGAGAAAACGACAAAGAACCCGTTGCCTCGCAGAAAATACGTATGGTAAAAACTGTACAAAATAATTTGAACTCAATGTCGAATGTGTATAATCAATTATACCGATAATCGCATTTATTCATCATTTTTAATTTTTCATTTTTATCATCTTTTATCTATCTCTAGGTATTCCTTTTTTTTTTTTTTCGCTAATCGAACTCGATCTCTTAGCTATGTAAAAATTATTCTACACAATCAATACAGCAATGATAAATATCTCGTTTTGCCCTCAGGTTTTGCTTAATCGCTAGGTAGCCTCGAACGAGCGAGCATAAAAAATTCTTTTTTCGAGGACAAATTTTCACAGTGATCTGCCTCCTAATATACCCGTATATACTCATGCGTACATACATGTGCATACAAACATGCATGCATGCATGTACATACAAACACGGGTAGGACAATTGTAGCAATAGACGATTAGGTGGGGTAGTACTAAACCAATTGCCTTCTACTGCTAAAATTACCATATGTTGGAGGATGCTGTTGGGTATTATTGCAGGTAAATTCAATTGTTGGCTAATGAATTAGATATGCGTGGAGTCAGTAGGATTAGCAGTAAAGTGCAATTTGTGTAGGGCCGCTGGCTTATAATCCCGTTTATGAAAGCATGAAACTACGAGTACGAAGTCATTTGCGGAGGTCCATCACCGTATCGATGAAATGTACATTGTAGGAGACGAGAGGCGAAGTTTTGCATTTCTCGATCAGCCTAGGCAATACTACCTGAAGCGGATGGATGGAGATTTCGACCGGGGACACGTATCCCTTGTCAACTATTTATATTACGACAAATTAACGCAAGATCCCCGTGTTTCGATACAAAAGATTGTCACTTTGGCGAGATATCGTGTTAGAAAGAAAGGCCAGCAGACTCTTACAATGAGGATTCTGCTTCCGCGTAACTCGGATTCATCCATCCGCTCAGCGTTGAATTACTTCTTGTTGGAACTTCGGTATCTTTACTTATGAAGATGATACGCTTACGTGTCCGTGATGTGAGAAGTTCGCATTCGCAATCAAAAGTCCGTACCAAATGATTTAGGCAATATTGTTTTATCAAATCTTTGTATGCTCGTGATAACATCGCGAGTCTCCCGATGCGCTTAATTCCGCTTTATTTCGCTTAAATTGACTGCCTGTGCGACCGCGGCCACCTCCACGATATATAGAGGAGATTGAAGCGTCACTAAGACCGACTAAAAGTCGAGGAGTCGAGGATTCGCTCGTTTTGCCTTTTTAACAATATTGAATACCGAACAATAGGTTGTAAACAACTCGTAAGGTTCTAATATCAAATATATATATATATATATATATATATATATATATATAAGTAATAAGAGGGGCTGCCGTTAATCAACTCGTAAGGGCTCTAAATATCAAATACATATATACACGATATATAGAGGAGATTGAAGCGTCACTAAGACCGACTAAAAGTCGAGGAGTCGAGGATTCGCTCGTTTTGCCTTTTTAACAATATTGAATACCGAACAATAGGTTGTAAACAACTCGTAAGGTTCTAATATCAAATATATATATATATATATATATATGTATATGCATATATATATATATACATAGACAAATGAATATCTTACCGATATATTTGCTATATTTCTTGGCATTGGCATTTACATCGGTTTTCTATTTTTTTCTATTAAATTCTTCTTTTTTTTTATAATCAGCCATGTCATTCGGCATTTGTCTTTCAAAACGCCAAACACTACGAGTCAAGATATTTTCATTATCATAATAATTATTAATATTATTTTATATTATGTTATATTATATTATCATTATAATTATTATAATTATTATTGTAAATATTTTTAATAGCCAATGAGAAACAATGACGTTTATATTGAAAATCAATTTGTAATATTTGAAGTGGTGGATCGTGATGTAATGCATGATTATTAATAAAAAGTACCACTAGTTGCTACACAATAATGCGTTACCAAATACCTTTGACGTCAAAAAGAAAAAAATAAATTTGATCAAATACATAATAGAAAGACGTTAATAACAATACCAAGATAAGTCAAACATTTATCATATAATTGCGCGTTTGGTTCTTTGTTTTATTCACATTGTTCGTTGAAAAACAATTTATCCAGTGCGATCCAAATATCGTTTCTCATCAATCTACCTAAGGCGAAAAACTAAACCGGCAAACTATTCCAAAGTAAGAACCGCCGCCAAGCTAATACTTTAACATATTTCATTCTTGTTGATATCAATTTATTTTTTTTTTAATTTTTTTTTTTATAATTTTAAATTCGTCGTTATGTAAAGCTGAATTTAACGCGAATCTTTTAACGGTAAGATATTGAAATAACTTTTTCGATTTACATTATTAGCTAATGCTACCATTAATGGAGGTTATTAAATCAGTATGAATATCTTTCACAGCTCCCATCTGCTATAATAAAAAATTTACTTTAATTACAATTAACAACGATTGCTAAATAATTCAAGTAAAGTCAATAATACGACCGTCTTAAAAATTTCTTTCTATATTTTAATAATACTTTGATTTCTATTTATTTATTTATTCTTCTTTTTTTCTTTTTTTTTTTTTCTTTTTTTTTTCATTAAGAATTTTGCTGCTTAAGCAATTTAATGATAAAAGAATATTTACTTTACACATAGCTCACGGATTTTCAACAAATGTAGAGAATGCCAGTATAAAAAAAGGAAGAAAAAAAAAATCATTGTACTTGTATCAGTTCTTGGTCGATATACACTAAGCAAACTTCCTACAAACTTTAACGTTCATAACCCCAATTTCCGATCACATTCTCCGATAACGCGTTTTGAAGATCAATATATCGATGGGAACTTGTCAATAAAATTACTTGGAAGATTTTTTTTTTTGTTTTTTTTTTTGTTTGTTTTGTTTTTGTTCTGTCCTATAATAACCACAAGATTCGCTAATGCAAGTGTAAATTATTCAAGTGCTGATGAATCGTCATAAAAATAGATACGCAACTTGATGGCGAATGCTAAAGCATACAACAGGCGTATATGGTGTAAACGATTACGACTTTAATGATGCCAAATGATTTGTAGATTTTCATAAAATCTTCGATAGTAATAATTTGTCATTAAATTGCAAAGTTATTCAAAGAGGGAAAAAGCAACGCGATTCGCAAGCATCGCAATATAAACGAAAACGAAGGGATTCGTTTAATGTTTAATTGCGTTTTGTCTCAATGGCATCTTCGATTTACAGAAGAAGCTGTAATGAAAGACCGAGATGAGCACGATTATCAAGTCACGATTTATTATCAAAAGCGCCTGAATGTTGGCCGTACGGCGCGCTGGGGTGCCGCGAGTGCAAGCTAAACATTGCGTGTTAAAGAGAGAGAGAGAGAGAGAGAGAGAGAGAGAGAGAGAGAGAGAGAGAGAGATTGAGAGATAGAATGATAGTGAGAGTTAGATATAGAGAGTTTGAGTTAGAGTGAGCGAATTAGAGTGTGAGAGAGAGAGAGAAAGAGAGAACGGGATTTTGGACGATCGTTTCGACCCATAGCCATAGATCTCTCGTCAAGAGAACGCGCGCATAGACAGAGAGGTAAACCTATGAAGCGAGACTTGGTCGTGCGGCACACCGTTCAGATAAATAATAAAGCGCAGTCGTGATCGCTTAATATCTAACCAGGGAGCTCGTTGTCCGTCGTCGGCGACGGTGACGGCGACGGCCATCTCTAGAGATTCTAAGGCTACGTAACGGCTGCCCGGGGGCTCTAGCATGATGAGCTCTTGAGCTCGGCGATGTCCGCGATGTTCTGAAGCAGCGCCGTGGTCGCCTGGGTATCGGCCACGGGCCCGTTGTTGTTGGCGGCGCTGCCGTTGCTCGACTTGGTGCCGTTGTTACTTGCGTGATAGCGCTCCCTCAGGGTGCTTAATGCGGACAACAGTCTTGTATTGGACGACATGAGGCGCGAGTTGGCCGCGTCGAGAGCCGCTATCTGCTGCTCCTGCGCGTCTATCACGCGCTGCTTGTACGACAGCGCGGCCGACATCTTCTGCTGCTCGCGACGCAGCTCCTCCTCCACGGATATTAACCTGCAATGTCAGAGTGACGTTAGCTCGGACTCACCCTGGCTCAACGGCCTCGCCGTTGATCTATTTCAGCCGCTCCACACACGCAATGGGCCAAACACTCGAGCATCAACACTCTACAGTTTACGCGGCGCCCAGCCTAACAAGTACAATCGTAACCCCTCCATCACCTTCTTGCCACTCCTCTTAACTCATCCATACGTCCGTTCAAGTGGCCTCTTGGTGTAACTTTGCCAATCTCGCGATCGATTTCGCGCGCCTCCAATAGTCTGGTCAAAAGTCGTGTTTGTAGTGTCAATAGCGCGCATCGGTACTTGGAGGATGATAATTATTCGAGGAAAAGTGCTTGAGATATCGGCATTTAATCGATCGACTAATTATGTTTGAATTAGACTTTTTATTTACCGAGTCGCTTGATGTTGGCATTGGAAGTGCGCGACACGACTGTTGCTAATACAATTCGACGGTCGGCGATTAACTTCAAAGTTACACCAATTTTCAATGATCCAATCAACGTAAAAGGCCATTTGAATATTCGAATGGCCATAGAATAGATAATTTTTACGTTTTCTTTACATGTTAAGCTGAGCAAATACGCATGATAAAGTGGGAAGTATGAAATGTAAGAATAATTAAGCAGCAGTACTACAAACACACACACGCACACGCACATATATATATATATATACGGTAAATAAGAAACAATAAATATTTTTAATATGGAACATTATTTTTATTCTTGTTGCTTATGATTATCGTTCTATTTGTTGTCGTTCTTCTTGTTGTTGTTGTTATTATTATTATTATTATTATTATTATTATTATTATTATTATTATTATTACACATATACATATTCATATGTGTATGAATGTTTGTAAGAAAAATGTAAGTATTGCAAAAACTATTTAATGCAATAGGAAAATGATGTTTCGAAACGCCCGAAGCATCATTATATATTATTTTAAATGTTTGAGCAACGAATTAAAAATGTATTTGAATAATCACGATTTTCATTGTGAATAAAAGCCATTATTAATTTCTCGTCTATGTAATTATCCAAAAGATAAATACTTTGAATATTGCAGAAGCAATGTTCCATATTTTGTTGTTTTTACTAAAAGCATATATGTAATTAAGAGAAAAGAAAAAGAGTAGCTACATATGAAACGCCTTCAGCTTCGTCGTATTTAAATTTAAAAACTTGTTTCTACACGTATAATACGTACTATTTTAAAATTATATATCTTACATATAAATTGTATTTAACAAATTTGATGCTTTGTAAAGCGTTCGTGTTTATATGTTATTCTACTCTAACGGATAAGAAAAAAGAAACGTATATAAAAGTGGTTAGTATTTAGTAACTCGTTTAAAAATAAAAATGAGAAAAAAAGAAATCACAAGGTGCAGAATTTTGTGAAATAACTTATAAGAAATTACATGTTGCACGCAGGGTAATGAAAAGGAAAAAAAGAAAACTGAAATTAGAGGAGCAATGAGTGTAAGGTATACAGAAAGTATTGTTGCTGCTGTGTAATGTCAACTACTTGATTGAATAAAATATATGATCCAATGTATCATGTTAATGTACGTGTATATTCTTGCATATGTTTGCATTACGAATTTTATTTGAAGTATTTAAGAATGAAATTAACAAACTGCAATTACTGATAAGAAAAGTCATCGTGTCTACATTTATTTAAATACAATATTTTGTGGAGAACAGTAGAGGAAGCAATTCGTGTGTAGGATACACTTATGCTGTGTATATGCGCGTGTGTATATATATATATATATATATATATATATATATATATATATTTATATATCAATACACGCGTGCACGCGTGCGCAAGTACACATGCATGTATAAATACGCGTCTTTGGAAATAAACTTGTTACCGTTAATATGATAGTATAGAATAAAACTAATCAAGACAACAAGTGTCGGTATAATTATAAAAATTAAAATGCTGAACACGTGACATAATATAAACATGTATAAAATGTTAAAAGCTTAGAAATATGATTTAACTCTTACACCAAGATCCAGATCAAGCCAGAGTATGCCACAAATGCAGCGGAGAGAATGCAAGGAAAACAGAGTCGATTAAAATATAGATTAAATACAGATTTGGCAAATAATAGAAGTTACATGTACATTGCAAACCGATTACAAAACATTTTCTTTTATATTTTATTCAGGTAATTATTAATACTCGATAGTTGAATGAACGCGTGTGATAATGATTGAGCATTCCAAGCGTTGATGTACTTGATTGTCACGGATGACAATAGATTGCGAAACTTTACGGTCAAGCATTAAAATATGCAGCGATTTACTTTCATTTCAGGTGCTATAACAATCCCTTACGTTATCATCTACAATCCTCTACACATTTTTATTTTTTTTATGACTTCGGTAATATATGAGGAAATTAAATGAGAAATCCACGCTCTTAGCTGGATTACTGGATTTTTTTAATTATTAAAACGGATGTCGGTAGCGCCATTTAATATAATTTAAAGAAAGATTAAGTAAAATACCTGAAAGTGACTAACTATATTTATTATCATGAAATAATTGCAGCTTATATATATATATATATATATATATATATATATATATATATAGGACAGAATGTGTATATGCGTGCTTATGCACATACGCAATGCGCAAACATTTGTATATATATATATATATATATATATATATATATGCTTCACTGATGGACGAAATTTTTTGATAATTGGCATTTAATTTGAATAATTCAGGTCGAGTTAAATATGAAGAATCGTAAGAAGATGACGGAATGCGCGCTTAGGTAATTAAATTAAGCAGCAGTGAATATACACGAATGTGTATATATACTGAGGCAGGTTAGTTATAAGAGACAAGGATACGAGTTAAAAAGAGTATTACGTCTAGTTGGACGTTAGATACGAGCGTGAAATTAGCTAAATTGCCAAACTTGCGTTCTCGCAAAAGGAAATTTGAGTGATAATCGGTAATTAGCGACCTCAGCCGGCCGAATAAAATTGCGGAATTTCTCGTTGGTCTTTACAAGAGGAAGAGAGTAAATCCTCGGAAAGCTGACTATTGTTATAGAACGAGATGGTGGACACAGCAAGTGGGAAGCGACGTGTCCTGTGAGCTTGAGAAAGGCGCGTTGGGTGATGTCTGCGGTCATTAAAGATTAGTACCTGGAGATAATGCTCTTCATTTTGGTGTCCGGGCCGATGCCCTCGGTATCGGCGTCTTCGGCGGCGCCCAGCCGGGCGCGCAGTCGATCGACGCTGCTCTGCAGCCTCTCGATTTCCACTTCGTACTACAAAATGCGAATAGAGCCAGAGGTTTTGTTAGTTACACGAGCTGACGGGAGGGACGTGGTGAGAGGTAGGACGAATGATACGTTGCCAGCGCGTTAAAACAGTGTTATTGACATTGTTAATGAAGAATTGGATTATCGTTTGGTCGTTGTGTAAGAGGAAGGATGACTCGCTGCATTAATCATTAATTGACCGGCGGTTCGCGACGTCCGACGAAACGTGGAATTTGTAAATTACTTCTGTGGCACGACGGTGCTCTAACTGATAATGCGAATCCGCGAGGCTCGTTGGTGAGCGGAGCCAGCCACCTCCAGTGTCCAGAACCAATAATAAATGAGCAAGTGTGTGCGTGCGCGCCCGTGTATGTGTATGCGTATGCGTATGTGTATGCGTATGTGTATGTGTACAGGGGCGGGTAAATAATCATATCCTCGACAAAAGCTTACTTAACACTGTCTTGTTCATAATGCTTGGGGAGAGTATGGGGGATGGAGATTTATTAATAAGCTCGATAATCCTCCGGTAATTCTCAAAGCAGCGGACAGTGGCTTTATGGCGGCGCGCACAACGAGGCTTAAGGGACATCCGATGGAAAATTTTACATCGTCGGTGGTTGACGAAGGTTGTGCGAAGGATGCGCCCTTGGATGTTCGACTCCCCCCACCACCTCCCTCCCTCACTCGCTCGCTCGCTCCCACCCTCCCGTTCTTCCCACCCTTCCCGCCCATCCCGCCAAACCGACTCATCGTCTTTAAGGATCAAGTAAAAATGCTGTTAGCGCCCACCGTGCCAATCACCTGATCGATGCTCCGGTGGCTCCTGGACTTGCTCCTCCTGGTGGCGCAGCTCTCTTCCTCGCTCGTGTCGGAGAGGTCCCTGGTGGAGTCGAGCGAGAGCCGCCTCCTGAGTTTCGTGCAGCAGACGGTGCTCTGGCTCTGCTCGTTGCTGGCAGGCCGAACGGAGACGTTGGTTTGCCGCCACTGGTGCGGCTGGGCCCCGTTCCTCTGTAGGTTGCGGGCGTTCTGCTGGAGGGGCGGCGAGGGGCTGAGGTCGACACCACGAACGGCCTCGACGCCTCCGTTACTGCCCTCGCGCTCGTCGGAGCTCGTGCTGCCTCGTCTCCCGTTGCGCCCATGATGATTCGACTCCATGTGATAGACGGGATTGGCGAAGGCCAGGGGCCCTCCACCGAGAATGTGAACGTTCGCGTTACCACTGCTCAGCTCCACGGGGCTCGAACTCTGGCTATAGGCCGCGAAGCTCTGGTATCCCGAGGAGGCGACGTTACTTAGCTGGGAGATCGATATTTGCGAGCCCTTCTGTGACTTGGACTCGGAGACTTCGTCGTCGGCGTAGCGCAGCAGGTCCGAGAGCTCGTCGAGATTACCGTTGGCCAATTGGCCACCACCTCCGTTATTCACCGTGCTCCCCTTGATGCTGTGGTAGCTATTGTTGTTCGGCTGATGATTTATCGATAGGGTGATGTTTGAGCCCGTATGACTATTGGCGTTTATCGTCGTCTTGCTCACGTTGTTGTAGGCGTTTTGCTGGTGAGTCTGATTGGCGTTCTCCTCCTTGTGGCAATGGTTCCTGCTCGCCGATCTCGTCACATTGTAATTATTGTGATTGTAATTGTCGTCGCATCTGTCGTGAATTTCGAGATTCTGGAGCCTGGTGATGTTGTGCCGATGCTGAAGTATAGTGCCGTTGTTGGGCTGAGTGCCGGTGATATTGTAATTTGAGTCTTTGAGATTGCTGTGGCTCTCGGATCTTGTGGGGCTAGTGGGGTGACTGGCCGTTTGGCAGTGATTGACATTGGCCAGGCTAGCACTGGCGGTGAGACGATATCCCGGCCCACTACGATTATTCGTAAAGGCAGTGGATCGTTGTTGCTGTTGGTGTTGGTGTTGCTGCTGTTGTTGCTGTTGCTGCTGTTGTTGTTGTTGTTGTTGTTGTTGTTGTTGTTGTTGTTGTTGTTGTTGATGATGCTGGTGTTGCAACTGATGCTGTTGTTGTTGCTGGTGCTGGTGCTGGTGCTGCTGTTGCTGTTGCTGTTGGTGTTGCTGTTGTTGTTGTTGCTGCTGCTGCTGCTGCTGCTGCTGCTGTTGCTGTTGGTGATGGAGATGATGATGCTGCTGTTGGCGGACTATGGGTGTAGGCGATCTAGAGACGAAAGCGGGCGGCTCTAGAGGATACTCGTCCGAGTTTATCTGCAGCTGAAGTTTGCCGTTGGTCGGTAGATAGGCGTTACGGGGTAAAGTGGCGGCCCTTATAACGTTGGGGCTGCGGTTGCCGTTGTTAGCGTTGTGCCCCAGTGTGTTGCTCTGGAGTATCTCGGCGCTGTCGCCGATCGTGCCGTTCAGAGTGCTGTGATTACTGCTGAGGGTGGAGGTGCCGGATATTGAGAGATTGGTGTTACTGTTGGCGATCGTCGGATCATTATAGCGAAATATATTGTTCTGGAGATTGGGATAGCGAAGCGTCGAGGGCACGGGGCTGGGACCCGGCTGATCGAGAGCGTGGGAGATCCTCTCCAGGATATCGGGCAGACGAGATGCTGGGGCGGTCGGTGAATTCGAGGGGGCTGCTGCGACACTCTCGCGTAGCAACGCATGAAGAAGCGATAACTGCTTCCCGAGGTCAATGTAACCGTCGAATTCCAGAGATATACTCGGCGTCTCCTTTGTCACGGAACTCTGAAAATATCCAGATTTTTTTTTAAAAAAAAAGATGATACGTAAGAGCAATTTAAGGCGAAGATCGATCAGCGGTCATTGATAATTAAATAGAAGCTTCGAGGCTCTTTGATTAATGAATGATCTGCCTTAAAAATTGCACGCGCAAGGATGTAATGTTAATGAATAAATAGTAATGGCTGTTGGGAACTTTGTTGACGTTTTAGCTCTGGAAAGTCCCCGTTAAACGTTGGGTATGATGGATGAAAATTTTGTAAATATTAAAAATACTTTAAAAGATACCTGATAACATTAATATATTTCATATATTTTTATGACCATTTAATAGGATTAATTAAATTAACTCAGTAAGCCTGAATAATATTCGTATTAGCAGTATTCATGGCTGTATGTGCATTTTTAATTTGCCAATGTCAAATTATTCGCCCTATTTAATTGACAATGATTTGCCTATTGGAAACCACCAACCGCTTATGCAAATACATACAATTTCAAATAAAGTGCAAATATATCGTCCGGATTTATCTAATTCTTCTTGAAACTCTGTTCTTTTAACTCCTTTAATCCCTCGACTATGTAATAAGAAGCAAGACGTTGTAAATATTTTATAAAATAAATATGAATTTTATATTTTATGGATCAGGATATATTATACAGGAAATTCTTGAATACGCCATGTGAAATTCTTAATCGAAATATGAAAGAAATGTGTAAACAACTCCGACGTAAATTTCATGTACGACTATAATAATACTCACGCTTATTAATTGTAAAAAGGTCTTCATTGACGGTGCTTCGCGCTCCAACACGTCGTTCATAAATTCCATAAAATTCTCCTTCCCTTGGAATCGCGTGAAATTCGCGAGAGTCTGCAGAGTCTTCGCCACCAGCGTCAAATTTCTTGCTGCCTTCTCATTTGGATACTCTAACAACATAACAACGAGCACAAATTTATTAAGTACATCTCCCTTTGATCATCAACAATATCGACGAATAATAATTAACAACTTTACCCAGTCGAGTACTGATACTTTATCAACATTACATTATTATTTAACTATCTGGCCACGTATTACTCATTACTGGCACTTATTGGAATTGCCGACATTTGCCGAAGCAAGAATTTTACTCAGGTATAAAGGTAAGAATCGTCCAATGGCGTTCGCCGATTCCTTACATTTCATTGTAATACAGAAAAAGAGAAAGTAAGGAGATAGTGGTGGAGGTGGGGGGAGGCAGGCCTCGTGACTTTAGTAAGCATCGATTAATTACGTGATTATCGTGTGCGAGATAAATGACGGCTGTGCAGCGTAAAAGCGAACGCACTCTAACGCGTACGTTTACCATTAATCGATGGAATGGCTAGGATCTCATGGTGAAACTGATGGTAGACCGGGGAACGGTCGAGATGGAGGACTGAATGGATAAGATGCATGGATGGTTGGGCGGATGTGGATAGGTGGTGGTGGTTGTGGTGGTGGTGGTGGTGGTGGTGTTTGGCGGAGGGGGGGGGGCGTCACTCACCGTGCGTAATGTTGAATAGCGAGGGGCTGAGTATCGCGGGGCAGAGGAACCTGAGGAATATCGAGGCGGATATGAGATTGTCGGCCATGTCCTCCCTGCCCATCTCGGCGAGCCTCTCTCTGAATATACGGAAGCACTCCCTCAGCTCGGCCGGGAAGTGCGAGTGGCTGGCGAGGATGCGGCTCCAGGCGAGCTCCACGGCCGCCCGGAGATTTTGCTGTTGCTTGTGGAGCGCTGCGACGGAGGCGACTTTCAGGGGATCGACCTCGCAGTCACCGCCCTCGACGGCGCCGCGTACCACCGGGCCGAGGGTCTCTTGAAGGTAGCGGTCGCCCGTGAGCTTGAGGTAGGCCTCCATCGCCTTCGTAGCGAGGCTATTGCCACGGAACGTCAGCCTCTCGTCGTCTGTCGCATCAAAAAGATTGGTCATTGTATTTTATCGGCGATAAATCGGCGATAATTCGGCAATTTTTTCAGCAATATTTTCAGCGATACGTGACACGAGGACTCGTTCGCACAAATATTAATTTGCCGCACGACTGTGAAAAAGTCTCACCAATTCGATGTATGTCCATCATGACGAGATCGGCGAGGAATTGTGGCGCCCTCTTCTCCCTCTGCATGACGGCGACGAGAGCCGTGGCGATGTCCTCCTTGGCCTTCACGCCGATCACCGGTTCCAGCTTCTCGCAGAGGGACGCGTAGTCGGTCTTTAGGTAGTCCAGGAACTCGTGGTAGACCTGGACGGGCAGTATGTCGACCGACTGGAAGCGGCACTTGACCCGCAGAGCCGGTGGGTCCTTGAGCGGGCCCTTGTCCCCGACCACGGAGTACCATTTTTCCGTTAGGTAGCGTGACGTCACGTTGTGCACGGGTATATTCACCGAACCTGAGATACGATACGAGACCGTTGCTTTATCACAGTCACCCCTCTCTCTTCTCCACAAAGCCGCTCAAAGTCCATAGAGACTCGGGCTTTCCTGGCCCTCGCTTCAATTATTCACTAGGAAGGGAAATTTTGCACGGGTATGGATTTTGTGGGTTACTCGTTGATAAATAATTTAATTATCATTCATTACCGTTAATTACCGTCTAACGATGTGCACGCTGGTGCTTTAAAACAACGTGTGATCGTCATAATTTACGCTTGAAAAAAAGTTTTATAATCTTTGTAAGGGCCTAAAAAAGTTTAAAAAAGGATAAAAGTCATCTGCGGTTAATGCGCGTTTTTTTTTTTTGTTTTGTTTTTCGTTTGCATTGCAATTACATCGATATTTAAGGGTTTCGATATTACGCTGTTATAAAACGTCCGGGTAGGTCAATGAAATTCGACATAACAAGCCGAGAATCCTCGCCCGGCAGAGTTTTCTTCCGCAGTATAATAAGTCCTAGATAAGTGTGCGTTTTCGGCCTCGATATATCTTCCTCTCCATTCGTAACGCTATTTTGTAGAGTGTGCACTAGATTGTACAAATTTCCGGCTAAAAATTCACGCGTGGATATATGAAAAGAGGGATGGATGATATTTGTCGATTTGCGTAGCGTGGGAATCGAGAGATCGCGATTTTTCATTCGAATCGAGTAATATGAATGAAAGTCGGAGGCTTTCGAATCGCGCGGCTAATCGTATTACCGTGTAATATCATTGGAAGCTGCTTCGAGTTATTATCGTAAAATAAATATCCGTCTCCGTTAATCAGTGGGGCTTGATTGCAAATGCGATGTTTTGCGAGGTAAGACACGAGCTAATAATGATCGTCCTCGGTGAAGTGTTAGAATACGTCGATCGTCGGAGCGGAGATTTCGTAATGTATTGCGTGTAGCGCGCCGAACTTTCGCTTCGTTCTTCGCTTTAAACGGATTTTGAATTTAGCCAGACGCGCACACAGTCGGGCATAATTTATCGGTGACGGGCACGATACATCGCCTATATTCAAACCATCGCATCTCCTCCTTGCCACCACTAACCTCGACTCATTGTGCGACTATGGAGCATTTCCCCTCCTCCTTCTTATTTACTTCCGAAATTTGTTCGCAAGTGCGCTCGCGTCGGATAATAATCCCAAGCGCTTTTCAAAAATCGTCCGGTCCACGGCAATAAATCCATGCCCAAGTCAATCCTGGCAGCTACACTCACGCTACTTTAATACAGTTTTGTTAAAAGAATCGAGCGACAAAGCGGAACATTTGGGTGCTTTAAACTTTGGGCTTGACTTGACCGAGGAGGAGCGACTCGAATGCACGGGGATATGGACATACAATAGGCGAGGACGCCCGGAGGCGCCCCCCATCCTGCTGTAAATATCGTGGATTTCCACGTATCGAGGCGAGCTCGGTCAAGACGGGAAGCCGCCAAGTGTTTCGCTGCCACGCGCCGAGAAGTTGGCGACGGTGCCGTTGAGCGGGGCAGTTCGGTTGTGGAAGTGGGGGGGTGTGTGGCGGAAGGTGGGGATTGGGATGAAGGAGGGGGGGGGTACATTACTCATTCTCTCACTCACTCAATCGTTCAATCACTCGTCACACGCACGCGCACATTTCACGTATTACGATGGGGGGGGGGGAGGAGGGTCCCTTACCGATCAGCACGTTCTTGTCTCGCTTCTTCTTACGGTCGGCCTCACGGTAAAGGTTCACCTGGATGGTATTGACGGCTGGCAGGTGATGGAAGTCGAAGCGCTCACCCCAGAAGCAAAGGTCGGCTTTGAGCTTGGCGGTGGTCCGCGCGTAGAGGGTCGAGTCCAGGCAGACCTCGCAGAAGTAGCGTTTCTTCGCGGGTACACCCTTAGCCTCCAGTAGCCAGATCTGCAGGGAATTGTCGGTGCGACGCGTCTGCTCGGCTTCCGGCTGCACGGACTTGCGCAGACTGAGGACACAATTGTTTGAATTCGTTAGAGTCTACTCCATCGTCCCGGCTTCGGTCCGCCGTTTTTACCCCAAGCTTCCATTACTCCACATGAAATGGTACTTTCACCATGAATGGCCGGCGCAATAATCGTCATTGTTCGCGCGTAAAATGAAATCGGAGATCTTGTTGAAATTGAAAGGGGGAGAGAGAGATAGAGAGAGAGCGAGATAAAGAGAGAGAGAGAGAGAGAGAGAGAGAGATGATGATGATGATGATGATGATGGCTTGTAAATACGCGTTGTAAGCCGTGAGCTTTTAACACACACGGCTGGGCCGTTACGTGCAATAACACGGCCGAGCTTATGAAATGCCAATCGACGAGAATCCGTAATTTTATTCTCTCTCTTACTTTGCATGGCTGCATCGACGGGGAAGAGCTGGAGGAGGGATAGGCGCGGCCTTTGCTGAGCTGCGACGAAACGCAACGACGAGCAGCTCGAGAGTAGTGCTTAACAAATACCGCGTTCACGTACCGTAAATAAAGGCTGACGTCTGCCAAAGACCAAAGACCGGGACACTACCGTCTCTTTGCCTCGGGAGCACGAACCTCCGAGATTCGTCGCTCGTTCATTATTTATGGTAAGTGTAGCGCCGGCCTGTCCACGCCAATTTAACGCTGCAGAGCATTTTACGGCTATGCTTAAGGTAGCAGCGGCACAAAACTCAACAACGGAGTCGAACAACCGAACATATTAAAAATACATGAGAAGAGCAGCGGTGGTAGCCGTCAATCGTCCCTTCACAGTCACCGGATAATAATTTTTCCTCCGACACGTTCTGTAGCGTCCAGCCGACGAAATCAAACGTATCTTCACCGAATAAAAGATAGTGGAAGAAAAAATAATGAGCGAGCGAGCGAGAGAGAGAGAGAGAGAGAGAGAGAGAGAGAGAGAGACGAATAATCTCTTATATTTGATGCCGATAGTCTGAAAAGAGCTAGTCACTCAAGAATGTAATATGCATTATTGGCCTCCGCGCGTTAAGGAAAACAACAACAACGACAACAACAAAAAACAACAAAAAAATATAAACGAAATAAAGAAACAATAATAAAAAGAAAAAAACGAAACAAAAAAAAAAAAAAGCCGCGATAGCCGGCCGCGTGTGAGATATAAAAGCTTATTGTCAAGCGCCTCTATCCTTTCGTATGTACGCGCATTATCCATTCTCTATTTATCGAAGCGAGAAGGAGGCAAATAAATAAATAGACGCCCGATCCCGAGGCGGCAGATTACCGTCTCATGTACACGCGCGCGCTCACCAAAAGAAACGCACTGACTTGCAACATCCGAGGTTTGACAAGGCCGATGAACCGGCGCCTCGAACTCTCGACTCGGGACAGTTTCCTAATAACCCCTCACCACCCCGGTAAAACACGATGATCGTTTACCTGGAGTCGAGAGTCCAGTTCTCGCAAGCTGGCGACGCAAGCTCGCGCATAGCACGGCCTACTCACCTGTGCAGCCACTGATCCCTCTCGTGAGCGGTCCTGCAGCTGAAGTACTTGGGGCCGCCGTTGCTGGGCGTCACCTGGAAGCAGTGCGGCCTACCGAGGAGGCTCGGGTGAAGCGGCGTGACCGCGGCCAGGTCCATCGAGGTCACCGCCTGGCCGCAGAGGAGCGACTCGTGGGAGCGGCAGCCCCGGAGTCCGGCGCCACCGCCGATGCCGACGCCGCGCTGCTTTTGGCGCTCGAGCTTCGTCACGCTCTTGGTCCTCTTCAATGGATTCGATCGAAACGATCGCTTCGAGAAGAAGTTCTGCAAACAGCACGAGGAGATATTGTGAACGTGAGTCAGCGCTACGATTGTCGAATTCGCATCCGAACAAGCTCCACCATCCTCGTCATCAGCGACGATCGCGAAGCGAGGAGGCGAGAGCTCCGGGCGCATCGGCGAACGGATTGCCTCGGCGCGCCAAGCGAGCCGCGCGAATCGCGGATATTTCGGGATAAGAACGGCGATATTTGGCTCGCACTATTATTTGGCACAGATTCGCTCGTAGTCGCTTGCGACAAGCCAGCCGTTAAACGCTGAATCGAGGTGGGAATAATAGTAACTTCGTCTCTGTTTAATCCCGCATTAACGATCTTACTTTGCTCCTCGAGCTCACGCACGGACAAACACGTGACAAACACAATGATAGAAAACTCGTGTCTCTGAGTTAAGTCGAGCGCTCGTTGAACGTGCGAGCGCTCCCAGTCTCTAAATACCAGTGGCATACTTCCACTCGAGAGAGTTAAACGACCCGATGACAAAGGTCGTATCCCCTCCCTCTCGCCCTCTTACCTCATCCGCCGAGGAGGCTCGTCGTTATTGCGTGAATCGATCCACCAGCATCCCTAATGCGCGATACCAGCCTCCTCCTTTCGTCGATAATCCACCTCTCGATGGCGCTCAACGGCTACTACTATCGTCGATTATTGTCCACTTGGTGAAGCTTCGCGGCTCACGGACTTCCGCGATTACATCGGCACTTCCGATCGTTTAAACTCTCTTAACGCCGGGAACCGGGGGGGGGGGGGGGGGGGGG